AACACAGTCATGTGTTTCGTGTATTAATACAAATCGAGAGGTGAAACCATGCCTCATATTGAAAGGAAGTTCTTAATCCAATAGCGGGCACTACACATTATGGGCGTTGGCCACGCAGGAAGCGGTAATCACTTTATTATGAAGGCACCTGATAGATGGTCCACTTTTGCTTCCAATGAAAATATAGATTATTTACACCCATGCCTTCTCCCGGATTCGAACCCGGGCCTTTCAGTACGGCAGTCAGAATCACTAACCCCTTTTTCGTCTGGGTGGCATATTGAAAGCAAGTAACACCAACAAATATACCAATTAAATGCATAAGCAGCTTTCTGAATACCTTTATCACAACTAGTAACTTTGTCTATTCGAGAAATGATGGCTTTTCTGCAATCAATATGTAGAATACGAGAATTATTAAACAACTATTAGAAATATTTCAATTTGTTAACACCAAATGTTCTATTTAAGTTACTTTTATCAAAAGATTGACTTAGTTCTATCCTTAAAGATAATTAGCCATACTTTCGGAAAATTTATTTTCATTATTTAAAGTACACATTATTTCGCAAAAGAAATGGTGTTTTCCTGTGCTAATGAAGTAATCAATTAGAAATCTCAAAGTAATAAATGCATCAGTTTTAGTAACAATAGTCTATTTATTTGTAATTCTAATCATTTTGAATTCTATTCTTGAAATTTTGAAGCTACTTCTGGAAGAAAAATAATATCTATCAAACAACGTAAATTGAAAAACAATAGCCCTTCTTACAGTTTTCCAGATATTAAAGTAATAATTTATCCTTAAAATTGCAGCAATTTCAGATTATTTATAGACACAATGAACCGTTTTTTCTGTTCCAGTAATCCTCTAAAAAGATTACTCATACTAGATTCATTTTCGAAATTGTTTTTAAAGAATTGATAACGACGACAATTCGTCTGTAACGACTCAGTTAAAAATAACAAATTTCATTAGATAAATAATCTCGCTTTTCTGAGGGCGTTTTTAAGTTATGAGAGTTATATAATTAGCAAAAATATAATATTTATGCTTTGTGATTTATTATTTTTCGTTATATTTATTTCCACTAGTACTGTTTCATCTCTCTTCAAACTGTTAACTAAATAGTAATAGTACATACTCCGCATACAACTTTGCTTATTTTTGCACTTAGCATGATTAATGAAAAATGATTATAACGGAGTTCCGCTGATTCGAATTTTATGTGGAACATTGAAGTCTATGAATACTGGCTACGCAAAATGAGGGCACTTAAAACCCGTCTAACATATATACAATGTCTTAAACAGACCTCTCCGAGAATTCGAGAAAGGATAATGGTAGAGACATAAAGGGTTACAATGCTGGTTGAATTCTAACCCAGTTGATTTAAATTGAAGTCTTTTGTGATTGTATAGTGAGTGTGCTTTGCCCAAGAAAAGCTTTTCAAATCCATTGCTATGAGTATTGATTCATAAAATATCGAATAAGATAAAGTAACATAAAGTTTTATTATTTTCAGAATATTTACCATTATTGATTTTTTTGTTCTATAATTTCTACACGCATTTTGTTCCCTCATACCAGCAATACGTAAACAGAGATTAAATATAAGAGCATTTCAGAAGACATTGCTTTGGAAAATAATAGGATACTTATTAAAGCTGCATTTTATTAATAAAAATACTGCATACCGTAATAATATTACATTAGGCAGAAATTTTTAAAACAAAAGCAAAATTATTTAAAATTTTATTATTTTGAAATTTATGCATTTCAGATCTAGATAAACCAACCACGTAGAGCAAAATTTAGGTTGCAACATGAATGATAGCCATCGGAATGCAAACTACTAGCGTTTAGCGATCTTATCCATTCGGTCACTAGTGCGATTCCTGGAAAATGCTGCTACATATTTTATTAATTAATTTATTTAAATCTTTGATACATTTTATTTAGTAGTTTACTTCCTTTCATAAAAATAATTCAATTTAAGGCAAATTTTTAGCCATCGGTAATACCAAATGCCATCTTCACGATAGAGAGATTTCAAACTCTTTATCTTGGCATACAAACTGCTATTATCTTTTGTAATTATATTATTACATAATAATTTAGTTATTGCATAATAAAATATGTGTTTATTATTGAATAATAATAGAATAAAAATCCATCAAACAAACTATAAATGAGTGAATTTGAGATTCTGCATTTCAGATTCATATAGGCAACACTGAAATCTTTTAGACAGAAATAAAATATGGTAGAATCGAAATATACGTGTTATACTTCGATCGCTGATACACTTTGCTATCCACTCAAATCATTTCTGAAAGCAGGACAGGGCAGGACAGGACTAAACATGAAGGACACCATGCTGTTACTATCAAATAGGCAGGTATAATCAATCAAGAAACAACAATCAAGGGCGCCACGAATATCTCCACGAATATCCACAGCAGTCCGATGCTGAGTCACGGCCGAAGTGCCACCGGAAAAATTTGAGGTTCCCAGATGACCCTCAGGTGCGAAGACACAACACATTCCACACATTTTTGAAACGTTTAATCTGTACGCACTTGTTTCAAACACCTAAATCTACGTAACTCTACGTTTTTGGCAGACCCTGTATGATCATGTATGTATAGCGTTAATATTAATAAATTACCGATGCGGCCCTTATTGGACGCCGGGAGAGTGTGGCCCAACTAGATAGTTACAGGTGCCGGACGATACCCGATTTGTCATAAAAAGTCGGGGCCCACCAGCGGCCGAGCGGTAACGTCGCTGAACACTGGTAGTTCGGTCCGAGGTTCGAATCTCGCGAACGGGCTGGCTGCATGGGCGTTTTCGTGGTTTTCCCCATGTGTAACGTGTATACGAGCCAGTTTTCCTTAGAAAGTCCTCCACGAAGGCATCCCTCCCTTAAGGCAGATAGCCCTCGAGTGCTTTGCCGTAATCTAATAAAACCAAACCAAACCAAACCATAAAAAATCGTCCGGGTGTTCAACCCTGTATTCACCTGTTCACCTTCATGACATACAGATTGAACATGTTAAAAATATGCTGCCTATATAGTTACAAGACTAAACTTATTTATTAAATAAACTATACATTTACAAGATTAAACTGTCTATATATTTACAAGACTAAATCGTCTATATACTTACAAGACTTATATATTTAACAAGACTAAACGCTAAAATTACATAAAATAACAGATACAAAAAGAAAAACGAAGAAAATCTGAAAGGTTTCAGATTTTAAATTACGTTGAAAGGGGCGTTTTTTTTTAAACATTTTGTGTGTTACCTTTATTCATTAAATATCACGTTCTTCGCACTTAAATCATAAAATTCAATTCGAGAGCAATATCGCAAAATAATTTTAAATTGAGCATATCTTTAGAATTTCCGATAAACAGTCTCACGCGCTGGAGATAAAATATTTTTTTCTGTACAACGTTGCCATTGCTCGCTTTGAAATTATTTGAGTTTGTTAATCGAAAATTCGTTAAAGTTTTACAAAATATGAAACAGATAATAAAACAAATTCCAAATTTGGGGCCCACCAGTGACCGAGCGCTAAAGTCGCTGAACGCTGGTAGTTCGGTCCCAGGTTCGAATTCCGCGAACGGACTGGCTGCATGGGCGTTTTCGTGGTTTTCCCCATGGTATTAAAAGACAGATACGGGTTGTTTTTGTACCTTTAGAGAAATATATAAAGGAGTTGTGCAATCTGAATTTGATATTACAATAAATTTTAGTGACTTTCTAAACCCTCAACAAGTAAGTATGGCCTGGTGTTCTTCAACCATATGCTACTGATCTTATTTCAAATAGAAGAAATTTTACAGTTGTAATATGCGCACTCCATCCACTTAACATTAATTGAAAACTTTTTTCAAAATTCAGCTTCAAAAATTTTTAAGCACAGTCTTATTTGAGCTGTGTACGTTAGCGGATACATAGGTCCGTACTCATACTATTTTTATTTATAATTATTACCTCGATATTCAGTAAATTACATCAAACATTCAATATTTAATCATACAAGAGCCTTTGTTATAAATAATTCTGCGCAGTTGTAGACAGTCTTCTAAATGAATTTAAAATAGGTTATGGTAGACTAAGTTTTAGTGTTTGGGACATGTTATGTGCATCAGAGGCACATAAAACATATTTATCAAGATATAATCTCATCTTGAGTCCAAATAAAATTGTAATACATACTTTGATAACAAAGCAATAATTAATAAGAATTAATAAGAATCACTAGTTGTTGCTCTTAAACATGCTTGCTTTAAATTTGGAGATGAATTAAAGCAAAACTTGCAAAATAATTAAAATGACTTTAGTTACATGTACACACAGATGACTTTTACAACACTCTGTTAATTACATAACTGTGATGTACATATAAGTTGTACAAGCTAATCATATAGGAAATTTCCAATGCGTCACATTATTCGTCATAACTAGATATGTAATCAACTGATTTGTTTTACAGTAATTTACTATACAAACGAAATATTGCTATACTAATTAAAAATTCAGTTAACATTTAGCATTACTCTCCTTCCACAAGGCTCACACAAGGACAACCGTTACTTAATTCTCCATTTTTATTTTATATTATTTTCTTTCTCCTTCACAGTATGACATTTTTCTTGCAGTCCTACTGTCACATAATTATACCAGACATAGCCTGAGAATATTACAAAACTAGTGGGATTAAAGACAATAATATACTTGTTACTGTATATATCGCATAATTATCTCCAGCAATAAGTATGCCTTCCAACACTCTTGCTAACATGTTTAATTTTACAGTTTTGGTTCATTTTTAAAGCACATAAACGAAAAATAACTATAATTAAAAAGGATCGGCTAGGTCTATTCTATGTAAGGTGCATTCTTTTGTACTTATATAGTGAGTGTATAATTTGCCGATATAAACTAAATATTATACTTATACATGAAGAATGAGTACAGACCTTTTTCCATGAAGCTGATGGCTTGATTTGATAAGGCTTCAAACTCGTCGCTGCAATTCCAGCTAACAGAAAATACATTGTGCTCATCTGAAGACGATGATGTCGCCGCTATCTTGAGGATATCATGGCTATTGAAAAGGATGTCATCGATGCAGCCTCGGAAATTAGGAATATTACCGAGGAAAAGTTCATTGAATCCTCCCACTCCACCAATGAAGACACCGTATTTGACATTCAGTTCAAAAAATCGGCCAGGTATATCCAAATACGTAGTGTGAAGACTGTCGATGATGAGCGTTAATTCCGCATCGGTTCGATGCAGTTCAACTTCATGCCACAACAGATCATTCAGGCTGAGACCAGGTGTGGATGAAAGTACAGCTTCACCAGCTCCAAGATTAATTCGAACCTGAAAAGAAAATACAAGAAACTGAGAAATCTCAAATTTGAACCTCATTTATCAGATATGAAGCCAGTGTTAAGAATATAAATGGTAAAGATAACGAATTTGGAGTACTGCTTTCAATATGCTGTATTGGGCAAATCATTTATTTTAAAATCAGTTCTATAACAAAGGGTTACTTCAGCACTGTTAAACATGTTGAAATGTTTCAAACGTGTCAAAACAATGTAAGTTTTCATTATGGTCATCGCAAGAGTATTTGATGCCTCTAGGCAAAGAAAATTTAGACGCAGGATACACAGTAAAAGGTTTCTAATATGACCAACCATGGTTCCAGATGATTCTGATTTTCTGTAGCGAACAGGATATTAGGCGATGCTGAACACCGTTAAGTTGGCCGAAATGCCTGCCACTTTCAAAAGCAGTTGTCTTGGCAAGGTAATCACCATGAAAGGTTTTTTTGTATAATTATTTATAACATTAAAAATTCTTTATTTAATTTTATTTCAGACAATATATAACTATATTTAAGAAATACAAAATATAAGCAAGCATTTTTTTCTTTTTGTGTATACGTGGTCAAGAAATATGACCCTCTATTTTGGCACCCCAAAGAGGTTTAGGTTTGCGGATAATACGATCGTCTCTGGGGTGATTGTCGAGCAAACACGTGAAACAGAAGTTTTCAAAACTTGAACCAATGGCTAACTTAATCCACTTGCAAAAATACACACACACAATAGCTGAGAATAATATATGTAAGAATAAGAACACAAGGAAACGACGGAGCACTGTTGATGATTAGTTATCCTATATTGAAGAGGAAGTGTTCTGATTGCATCGTAAGCTAATGTTTTGACTTCATAAATGAAACTCCACAGATCACTTGGCACCCTAATCGTGCCTGTTCAAGAACATTTACATTATTGATTTTATTGCAATAGGAAGCAGCGTAGCGAAGTTGCGTCCAAGCACAGCACAGACAGAGGCTGAAGTGCATAGTTATGAAAGATGGAAGCACGCGAAGAGAAAAGTTTTGGTTTACAATGGTAGTTTCAGTTCCCAATTATTACGTCATTAGCGCTGCGGAGGCCATGCAAAAAAGAAAGAAGAAGATCTAGAAATGACGCAATGCAGAGAGGTTATTACGATTTTTAGAATATATAGAGAGAATTAATATTTTACCATTAAATTATAAATTTGATTCACATATTTTTTATTAGTTTTTATCCTACACACACACACATATATATATATATATCCATATTGTGCATTGTAAAAAGATTAGTTAAGTACCATACCTACTGTAAAAGATCTCAATAAGTATTCCAACTGTAATTGTCGGACTTCGGCACAATATCGGATACAGTTTCATAAGCATAGTTTTAAAAAGCGACTTTAAAGCGACATAGTTGGGAGGACTCAAATAATGCATGGATGAAAGGCGGCTCACTAATTTACTGTTTGCAGTAGCCTCCATTTGTCATGCGATAATTAAAGGAAACACTGAAACACGTTAAAGCAAGAAAAACTTTACACATCTGATATCGTTTCATACAGCAATATATTTAACAGCTTTAGAGAAATACTTTTTTAAATATGAAATATTTTTTTCAATATTCTTGTCAAAGTAATGATCTGGTTTTAATATCAATTAACATTATGCACAATGATGAACTTTAGAGATACTTTAGGCGTATATTCCAACACAACATACTCTTTATAAGCCTATAAAATAATTTTGTTTACAATCCTCACTCATGACATGCCAATCATGAACATCGACCCACTGATTACCATTCACTAAGTGGTCATAATTTATCTCCAATATCTGCATAGATAATCGATGAGAAACTTTGCTAGAATCGCATCATTTGCTCCTAATAAGCCCCAAACATAGACGCTCATCAATAATTTTTATTTCAGCTTGTCATTACATAAATTCTTGCTAATAACATTAATTATTTACTTGATCAAGAAGTTACAATCCACAATTTCAAATTATGCATAGCTTAAAAATTAGTTGTGAAGTAAATACTATAATTAACTAAATAAAGATGCTGTTACAGGGTATTCTCAGAAATAACTGGTACAATCTATAGTACAGTACAATACAGTCTGTTACTACAGCCAGAGTAATTAAGTAAATATATACACCAATTACAAAGAAAGTCTGAAAGACAGTTTTACGATAAAATTAGCAATCTTTTTTTGTAAAAGTACACGTTAACGAAGTGGACGGTGTTTTAGAGGGAAATTTGAGTTTTTAATATGTTATAACTTCGCTGCTATTGTGGCATGTAAAATCAGAGTGCACTCAAAGAATGAGCGAATGTAAGAGTTTACTGAAAGGCTATCTCTATCGGTTTAAGGTATCTGACCGCGTTCGACACCCAGAGTTGGGAAAAAAGTATAAATAAATCTATTATTGAAGTTATTTAGCAGAATATTACTTAAAATATTAAAAACAGGTGATAACCATATTATCAAAATGTAATTTTTTTCCTCTATTTTGAGTTACAAATGTGTTAAATTTCAGGATTACTACATATGTTCACATAGAAATATTTATCAATATTTTTGTTTTATATTTGTCACTTATATTTATTAAGGTATAAGAAATCAAATGGACTAAAATCTAAGTGATAAAATAAAAATATCTGTTAAATATACCTGCTTAGGTACATACACTAGTTATTTTTTCGAAGAATTTCTCTCTTTTTCTTTACAAAATTGTCTGAAAACATTTTAGGTATGTACATAAACCTAAACATTTAGTCCATTTAATTAACAATATTTCATGGAATATTTGTGGAAAATTTCATAAAATTACTATTTTAATTATTTTTCGTAACAGAAAAGTTGCAAAAATCAAGGTTTCAAAAATAGATTTAATGTGATGCAAACACAAACAGAAAGAAAAGAAAATGTTGCTAAGTATGAAAATTAAATATTGCAAAAATAATCAAGTTCCCGAGCACTTAATATAAAAAAGAAAGATCCAAAAACGAAATTCAAGTTCAGTTTTTCATATCTCGAAAGCGCGACTTTGGATATATATTCAATTTATATATAGCACTGTTCTAATATAGGTATTTTGACCCAAAGTTGGACTTTTTCTGAAATAACATGCCAAATGTTTTTACACATCGATTCTACGAATCAAATTATGCCAAACTGACAAGTTTCGTAAAAATCGCACGAGTAGTTAGATCTCAAAATTTTAGTTGCTCAATGTTAAGTCAGTTTGGTATGTATTTAGTAATCTTTCTTTTTTTACTACACTTACTTGATTCCTTCTTTCATAGTTCAAAATTTAGGTCCGTTTAAATAAAATTCGCCCATTTTTTATGATTTATATTTAAAATATGTATTTTTAAATGGTTTTTATAAATTTTTCAAAAAAATTCGAATTATAACCAATAAAATTTTTACCATCATCTTAAAGTAGATGTATTCCTAAGCATACCTGAAAAAAATTAGATATTTTTATTCAAAATTTCCGAAGTTATATGTGAATTTATATATTGGCGCCTTTTAAAATTTGGCATAGGTATGATGTGACTTTTTCCGCTCATGAACAAGGTTATCATAAATTAAGAAGTTCGCCAAGTGAATTAACTATTCTCGTCGCAAACTGAAAAAAATGCGCCGAGATAAATTTTTGAATTTCTCCATAAATTTCACACCAAATTTTACAAAATTTAATATTCAGACAGAATTTAAGTCGTAAAACCGAAATATAGGAAAAACATTATCTGTAATTTCAGAAAACGTCCGATTTTGTTCAAAATACCTACATTAAAACAATGCTATATATAAATCTAATACATATCCTAAGTCGCGCTTTCGAGACATGAAAAACGCAATTTGAATTTCGTCAATCGGCCCAATAGAACGGGAGATAGAAAACTGTCCTTTTTTTTTTTTTTTTTTTTTTTTTTTTTTTTTTTTTTTGTCCAAAGGCGCAATTTGCCCTGAAGACTAGTATTTTCCTTTTGGCATTTTGCGTTGTTTCACTCTAAATGTCCGATTAACTTTTCAAATTGTTGCCACCAAATATTATCGCCCTGTATTATATTTAAAGAAATTAAATAATGAAGAATATGCATAAATGTATGTATATTTCTCGTATTGTGATAAAACAACGGTACCTAGAGCCATCCAATTTTGAATAACGTACGTTTCCACCCGAATATGAGCATCTGGAAGCCCAAATTTGGAATTTGTTTTATTATCTATTTCATATTTTGTAAAACTTTAACGAATTTTTGATTAACAAACTCAACGATTTAAAAGCAAGCAATGTCAATACTCTACGTGTGAAAAAAAAAAAAAAAAAAAAAAAAAAAAATCTTCAGCACGTGGAAATGTGTATCGGAAATTCTAAAGATATGCTCATTTTAAAATTATTTTGAGATACTGCTCTTGAACTGAATTTTATGGTTTAAGTGCGAAGAACATAATATTTAATAAATAAAGATAACAGACAACAAGTTATAAAAACGCCCCTTTGGACGTAATTTAAAACTGACACCTTTTAGATTTTTTCTTTTTCTTTTTTTTCCGCATTGTACCTTTAGATATCAGCTTTCGGTTCTTAAACAGAAACTTCTGGTCCCGGCATAGAACAAGAACAGCTGTAATTATGCTTCCAACAATCGGGAAACAAAATAAAAGTAGTTTTGGGAAGCTTAATCTATGAGCATTAAAATAATGTAATAATTTTTTTTTGAAAAATTTCATCAAAATTGACGATTATAACATGGTTGCTAACCACTTAAGTTTCCAAGAACAGGGTGGAAAATGTAATTAAAAATTACTAGGAAATTAAACTAATTATGACCTTGAGACAAATGTCAAGACTGATTAGAAATATACATAACAGAGACATGTTAATCGATTGGTTGCGATTACAGGAAAGCAAACCTTAGTATTTGGCTTAGTAAAGAAGCTTTCATGGATACGTTTTTTCTAAGGAAACTTGTTCATATTCATGTTACACA